ACCTATGCGTTGCCTCACCATGGACATGGAAATTGAACACGTCCCTGCTTCGTGACCCGATGATCCTGGAACAAACTAGGAAAGGAATTGCTGAATACTTTGAGATCAACACCACTCCCGATGTGAACACGAGCACGATCTGGGCGGCCCACAAAGCGGTCATTAGAGGGACCCTAATTAAACTGGCCACCAGGAGAAAGAAAATGAAGCACCAGAAACTGGAAACTTTACTGGGACAACTGAGATCCCTAGAACAAAAACACCAAACTGCGCCAACAGAGGGCACTCTCAGGCAACTGGAAGCAATCAGACGTGAAACCCGAACTTTACTATTGGACGATACGGCTAGATCTATGACCTGGTCAAAAAGGACCTTTTTCGAAAAGGCAAACAAGATGGACACTCTTCTGGCCAGGACACTTCGGCCGAGGCAGGAGAGGTCCCACATAACTGCACTTAAACACCCGGATGGCACGACGAGATCAAGTCCAGTTGAGATAGCAAAGATATTCGAAGATTTTTATAAACGGTTGTATAATCACACCCCAGATGGGAGTCCCCTCGGGGAACACGAGGAGGAGTACATAAGGAAATATCTGGACAGATTAGGGATGACAAAATTGAGTGAGGAGGTAGCAAACACTTTAGCTGCACCTATCTCAGAAGAGGAAATAGATAAAGCTATATCGAGCCTGAAAGGCAACAAAGCACCAGGACCAGATGGATTTGATGGTTCATACTATAAAATATTCAGAGAAGAACTTACACCTCAATTGGTCCGTCTTTTTGACAATCTGCGGCGAGGCGGTCAACTAGACCAAGGTATGTCACTGGCAACCATAGTACTGTTGCCCAAACCTGGAAAGGATCCACTTTACCCCGAGAACTACAGGCCCATCTCACTGATTAATCACGATATGAAGATCTTAGCGAAAATTCAAGCAGATAGATTGAATCCGCTATTACACTCTATAATTCACGCAGACCAGGTAGGTTTTATCCAAGGTCGGCAATTGTTCGAAAACACTAGAAGGAACATCGACTTGATTTGGAAACAAGTGGCCTCGGAGACCCCTACGTTAGTGGTATCCATAGATGCAGAGAAAGCCTTCGATAGGGTCAGGTGGCAATTTCTATTTCCAGTTTTAAAGAGTTTGGGCTTTCCAGACGAATTCCTAACGATCACAAGAGCAATGTACCACAACGTACGGACACAGGTGCAGATATCGGGAGCTCCGCTACATCCTTTCAAATTGTACAACGGAACAAGACAGGGTTGCCCACTATCTCCCCTTCTTTTTGTTTTAGCGCTCGAGCCCTTACTTCAAGCGATACGCCGGCATCCGAACATTGCAGGTGTTAGGGTGGGAGACAAAGAGTTTAAGGTGTCGGCCTATGCAGACGATGTCCTTCTGACCATCACAACCCCTCATGATTCAATGGCGGCAATAAAGGATGTGATAACGGAATTCGGTATGGTATCAGGCTATAAAGCGAACATTCAGAAGTCCAGCGCCATCCCGATCTGTCTAACACAAGATGACACAGCTAGATTGCAGGAGACCTACCAAATACGAATGGAACTGGATTCTCTGAAGTACTTAGGGATTCATCTGACAGCGGACCCCGGACGTCTATATCCTGCTAACTACGCCCCGATGCTCAGGGAGCTGACGAGAGACCTCGACAAGTGGACAGATAAACCTATTTCCTGGATAGGCAGGATTAATTCCGTAAAGATGAATATCCTTCCACGTATATTATTCCTCTTTCAGGCACTACCCATCCGGGTCACAAAGACGCAACTGATTCCCCTGCAAAGATCTATAGCAGACTTTATTTGTCAGAATAAGAGACATAGAATCTCCAAACAGATCTTATACAGACGAAAAGATAGGGGGGGCCTGGGCCTCCCGAATCTTTACTTCTATTATCTAGCGGCCCAATTGACGCAGATAGCCATGTGGCACTCCACCCCAGATGAGAGAAGGTGGGTAGAAATTGAGTCTATGATGGTGGGCGTTGATGTACCACAGTTTACGATATGGGTTCCTAAAACACACAGACCGATGATAAGGGTCACATGCCCGGCAATCCTAAACTCGATTCGAATTTGGGACACATGTAACACCAAATATGGGCTGGCGTCCTCCCCCTCCCCCTTGACCCCGATCCTTCGAAATAGAGAATTCCCTCCCGGCATGGCCCCCAGAGATTTTCGCAATATAGAAAGAACGGGACTACAACGGCTACATCAGCTATATCAAAACGGGGAGTTTATACGATTTGCAGATCTACAATCGGGTAACCATCTAACCCCCGCGGACTTTTTCAGGTATGTTCAAATTAGGGATTTCGCGAAAAAACAACACATTAAAACAGCTGCCCTTGGGAAACCCACCTTTTATGAGAAATTATGTTCAGATGGGGTTGCCCCCAAGGGGATGATCACGCTACTATATGCACACTTTAGTGAAGAAAATAGAGAATGGAGAAGATTGTCCTATACGGACCAATGGGAGGCCGATCTCGGGGAGGCTCTAGAGTGGGTAGAGTGGCAGGAGATATGGGAGGCGAATGCTAAAGTCTCAATATGTGTCACCCTCCAGGAGCAGGCTTGGAAAACTATGTTTAGGTGGTATACTACCCCAATCAAATTACACAGAATGCACAAACTGGAGACTGACGATTGCTGGAGGGGATGCGGAGTCCGAGGATCATACATCCACATGTGGTGGGAATGCCCGAAATTACGGGGATTTTGGAGATCCGTGGAGGATTTGGTAAGACAGACTTTCGACCGACCCCTAAAACTGGATCCGTGGATTTACTTGTTAAATAGATCAGTGGACGGGTGGACTAAGAGGGAACAGAAACTAGTACACAAGATTACTTTGTGTGCACGCCGAGCGATTGCGACAGCGTGGCTCACACCTGAGGGCCCAGAATTCAAAGGGGTTATCTCCAGAATCAAAGAGTGTAGAATTATGGACGATCTAACTGCAAGGGTGAGAGGGAACATCACGACTTTCCAAAAAACGTGGGAACCATGGGACAATAGCATAATGGGCTCGAATGGAGATTGAGAGCCTCACACATATGGGAATGATCCCACGATCTACACATCCTTACGGAAGGTGACACGTCTGTCAACGCCGTGGCTGCGCTGCCCCCCCCATCCTCCCTTCACCCCTCCTTTCCTTCTTATATCTCTCTGGTTTTTCCAATCCTAACTTTTTCCTTTTCTTCTCTCACTCTTCCTATATCTTTGTTTTTAGTTTCTCTATTCAAGCAGGATCATACGGTTGGAGGAATAATGTAGCTTAAGAACTAGAAAGATAAGCGTATATAAAGGCTACTTGAACTACTTACCGGCCTGCCCTTGGTTAAAACGTAACTTAACCTAATAGACTGGGGGCCCTAAGGGTTTCTAGCAAAAAGCGCATGCAAGGTTCGAGTTGCGTACCTTTTCTTTACAAGCTATGTAATTCCTTTTGGCTTCCTAGTGCGCCCAAGAGTGTATATACACCTGTTTTGTTTATGGTGAAAATTAAATCCCCCGAAAGAGAACTTAAAGAATTTAACCCAACAAAACGGGGGTTGGGTATGACAACATATAGCCCTCTGTAGACAACAGGTACTAACGTTTCCTTATTTCGAGGAAAGGGCCAATGTTGTATCGGCTAACTTACGGTATGTTTTCAAAATTTATTTCCAAGTTGGCTTCTGCGTAAGCCCAAAAGTTTATGTACTCCTGCTGTGTCTATTGAGCAGAATCAAAGTTTTACAAAAAAAAAAAAAAAATCCCTTGGCAGGTAGCCAAATCAGCATAGTGTTACTACAATCACTGTTTTAGCATCGCATTAGCACCTGTATAACTACAATTGAACCTGTTTGATACTTATCGGGCTTTTGCATAAGCCGTAATGTTAATGTTACCTGGCTACTTTTGTCAAGATGAAAAAATAAAGAATTAAAAAAAAAAAAAGAAAGACCATTTAATGGAGAGAAAAACTGTATATAATATGTGTGGGTACAGTAAATAAGTAAGAGGCAATTTACAGCTAAACACAAACACCACAGAAATGTATAAACAGCCCTGGTCCTTAATGGTAAGAAAATAAAAAAAACAGTCTCGTCACTAAGGGGTTAAAAGGACATGCTAAGCACCATAACCACTACATAACCCCTTAGTTGCCAGACCATATCCAGTTAATCTTATGAAAGTTGTTATGATGCAAAGATCCTGTACTTATGTTTTATTCTGGAGATAAATACTTTTTTTTGTGTGTGTGTGTGTTTTTGTGGACCGCCTCCTGGACTGTCAATCAGCCAGCTGGAATGCTGTCTTCCTGGGTGGCCGTATCAATTGTGTGTAGTTTGGCCTGGTGTCATTACCCACACCACACAAACCCCAGACACCTTAAACAGTCTGCCTATGGCTGGGTAAGTTTCATATCCTGTCTAATTAAATGCACAAAGTTGCCTGCACATGCTGGACTACAATTCTTATCATGCTCAGTAAAACCTTGGCTGAGACTGGTGGATCTGTTTAACAGGAAATATACTTTTGATATAACAAAGAAGGAACTACTGGGCAAAAGCAGCTAGTGAAGATTAAGGGCTTAGGAAATATTTGTGTACATTTTAGTAAAAGCCTATTGTTTTGAAAATATTCATTATTTGTATTGAAAAAATGCAAGCGATTTTTAAACTGAGATTCCCTTTAACTTTATTTTTCAGTCCTCCAAAACAATTTTTTTTTATTGGTGAACCAATTTAAATGATATTACATAAAATGAATATAGATTTGTTTGGCATCTTTTAAATGAGCTCAGTTTGCCTCGCAAAGTCAGTCTCTTTCGATTGCGTTGTTCATAATATTGGTTAATGTTTGAGGCTCTAATGCTTGAATTTCTGCACAGGTATTCTCCTTGAGCTGCTCAATAGAGATGTCGCGAACCTTTCGCGAACTTCCCGCGAACGGCGAGCTCCGGTCAGCTGACACATCCCGGCCAATCTCCAGCAGACCCTCCCTCCCAGACCCTCCCACCTCCTGGACAGCATCCATGTTGAAGGCAGCTTCAACATGGATGCTGTCCAGGAGGTGGGAGGGTCTGGGAGGGAGGGTCTGCTGGAGATTGACCGGGATGTGTCAGCTGACCGGAGCTGAACCGTGGCGAGCCGTTTGCGGGAAGTTCGCGAACGGTTCGCGCCATCTCTACTGCTCAAGTGTATGCGGTTTGTTTACGTATACCCACTCCTTAAGCTATCCCCACAGGAAGTAATTGTGGACTGAAAGGTCAAGCAAACATGGCAGACAATAATTCTGGGAGTTTCTTGAAATTATTTGTTCACCGAACAGCTGTCTCAGTTTTTAAAATAAAATGTCACTATTTTTACTCATTATGAATCTCCTAAGACTAAGTTATAATATGTACTTGCAACAAATAAGTTATTTACCTGTCAAATCCTACTCTGAATTTTTTGCCCAACCTATATATATGGGCATACACTGTGTGCAATATATACGGGCATGCACTCGGTGCAATTTAGCTATTATACCGCACTTTAACAGTTAACTAATCTAATACTTTGCTGGACATTATATAGTAAGTCCACATGTCACGTTCTGTGTCAATTACTCTCTGGTATTCCGGTTTACAATTAATTCTGGCATACTAGAATAATATTTAAAACATGCAACATAATTTGTAGCATAAAACATTGAGTAGTAGAACAGAGACAAATGATTTTGGACCACTGTTTATTTAAAAAGAAATGATCACACATTCACTTTATTACATTAAAACTTTTTTTTTTCCACACAAAAAAGCAGTAGTTTGGCATATTCAGCTCTTTAAATACTTAGCTCCTCTGACATTTTAAATTTAACCCAACGATATAGTATTATAGCATTTTAAAATGAACCTTCCATTCACGAACGATATAGGAAACTGTAGACATTAAGATACATTTTATTATAAAGTTGCTTCTACAATACAATATAATACAACACAAACATGCAAAGGATAATACACACAACATATATATTTTAAGAGATCCTTGCAAATTATTTCAACATGATCCAGCCACAGAGGTTTGGGGTGGGCAAACTGTTCTTCATTAGAGATGTCGTGAACCGTCCGCGAACTTCTTGCGAACGGTTCGCCACGAGCTGTTCGCGGCGAACTCCGGTCAGCTGACACGTCCCAGCCAATCTCCAGCAGACCCTCCCTCCCAGACCCTCCTACTTCCTGGAGAGCATCGCGGACGGTTCGCGACATCTCTATTCTTCAGTTGTACCCTGCAAGTCAACGTCCTTACAACTGCTGTAAAGAGGGATTACACCCTACCACGATAAAGGCAAAATAAAGCAGCGGTGCTTCAAAATTAAAATAATTTACAGTATATAATAAATATATATTCAGCTTTGCTCCCACCTTTTTGTGGCTGCAGTTGCCAATTCAACTTTTTGTTTCTTTAAAATTGTAAAAATATATACATATATATTAATTTCGACTCTTGGTTGATATGTTTTGACCACAGTATTTCATGTGCATAAGTTAATATAGTCTTCCTTAGCACAAATTGTATATTTAGACTGTATTTATATATCATAACCCACAGTTTAAAGCATAGTGTTTTCAATTTGTCTTTGTGTGTGTGCCTTTGTATGCACTCACTTGTAATATGTCTATTATATTATTTGTGAAGTGACAATATAGTATAAAATATAAAAAAAAATCGGAACTTGTGAAATTATTAGAACACAGTATAAGCATGCTTGGGACATAGGTGGATCTGTGTCCCTTTCCATTACTCTGAAATAAAAAGGGGAAAACAGTCCCAGGATAGGAATAGATGTAGCAATTTGTAAACCAGGTTCTCCATGAAGTTGTTGGAGCTATATGCCATTTCATTAGAAAAGAGAGCTGGACCCAGGGGCTTGGCGTATAGGATGCCATTTTTAGTAAGCTTCAGGGTTGTGATGTTTTATAATTGACCTAAATGTTTTTTATAAGCGCATATGTTTTCTATATATAGATATCTATCTATGTGCTGCCAATACATTTTTATAAAATTGACATCATTGGCTGCCTTAGTCATACATTGCAAGCTCAAACTCAACACACTTCACATTCCATGGAATTCGGTGGCATACGTAAGCAAAGTGAAAATACAAATTCTGTTTAGTCTTATGGTATGGTCCATCTGGTAATTACATCATATTTAAAAGCTGTATAGAAAATGTTCAAATAAAAGTGTAAACCCTGCTAGAATTTGCAATCTTGACTTTTTCTGGAAATATTATTTTGACATCATGGTCCCCATCTCTGCTTGACTTCATGTAGAAATCTTTTTTCCTGCGTAGTAAATGTCGGTATTTAGCATTGGCAAACCATGTTTCACATCGGGAGAAGAATATGATCCCCGTGGTGATCAGAACTATGAGGCAAGTAAGTAAGCCCAGGACAATGAAACATATGACTTGATTTCTGTTGAGAAGCGGATTGATGTTGTGGATCGTTTCTTTAACAGTGATCTTGAGTACTTCATGTCCCTGGTGTTTGAAGGACTTGTGATACGGAGACAAATTGTTTCTTTGTGTATCTACTTGCTTGAAGTTTTGACTTACATCACCACATGTATATCCTACATACCCAGGAGGACATGCACATTGAAATCCTTCTAGCTTATTATAACAGGTTCCACCATTCGCACAAGGGTTGCTATTGCAGAGAGGAACAGGATCACTACAAGAAAGGCCAATGAACCCCATGGGGCAGTGGCACTGAAAACCTGACCCAATATTTGTGCAATTCCCTCCATTTAAGCATGGATTAGGATTGCAGTTGTCTGTAGCAACTTCACAGTAATTGCCTCGAAAGCTGGGGAGGCACTGGCAAGTGGCACGTGATGCAAAACCGTTGTTATCTATGCAGGTTCCACCATTTTGACAGGGAGACCTGAGGAAATATACCGATTGATAAATTAACAGAACATATCAGATAAAACCAAATTGAACTACTAAACTAAGTAGAAAAACAACATGAATTTCAGAGTTATCAGGTAGCGTAAACAATAAAGATATCCATCTAATCAGCATCCATACCACCTGGACCCTGGCTTTCTGTTCTACTGGTGTTGCAGATCAGATCCTCTGCTTCCTCGGACTAGACCTCTCTTGTTCTACTGCCTCACTAATCCAAGCAACTAGAGATGGGGCATGGTGGGGAAATGTCCTGAGCCACTAATGCCACAGAGTTGATCCGATGACCCATAGAATATAGTTCTGCATCAAAGAAACCACAAATCTCTCTGCATCCTTAAAGAATACAGAATGGTTATGACTCCCCCTAACTTCCTATTAATGAATGTTTGTGGTTCTATATTAATAATCGCATACCATACATGCAGGGCTGGTCTGAACTTTACGTGTGTAAGTATTTACACGTATGTACCTCTCCTGCACTGTCTGCAATAAAGATACATTTATACAGTCATCATAAATCAAAACAGGACCATAACCCAGCAATACTTATATCCCTAACAAGGTCTTTGTCATGTCTGGCTTGGCAAATACCCTGTCTTGGTTCGAAATGTTGCCTCTCTAATAAAAGGGAGTTCCAGTATCCTTAGTTTATTTCATCATGACAGCAGCTTTGCCAAGACACTATAAAATGTTCGCTCAGCACTTAGCTGTGATCATCTATACAAGTTGCACGTTACTTTCAGTATTTATTGAAAACGTGTGTGTGTGTATATATATATATATATAGAGAGAGAGAGAGAGAGAGAGAGAGAGAGAGTTGAGCGGACACCTGGATGTTCAGGTCCAACCGGTTCGCCCGTACTTTGAAAAAAAGTCCTGGTTTGGGCTCGAACTTGACCCTGAACCCCATTGACGTCAATGGGGACCAGAACTTTTGGCCACAAAAATGCCTCTAAAAAACTCCTGGAAAGGGCTAGAGAGCTGCAAAGGGAAGTGAAATGGAGGTAAGCGTAGGACAAGTGTCCTGCAAACAAATGTGGATAGGGAAATCACTTAAAATAACATAAAAAATAAAAATACAGCTGAGCCATAAAATAGCACTAGATGGAATCTTTGATTTTAGCTTTGGAAGAACATAAATCAAAATCTAAAGCATGGCTGTCAGGAGGATCACCAGAATTAGCCATTTGAGAGAGGGTTGGAGTGCAGGGTATTCTCTTTCATTGTTCAAACTGAGCTCAACTCCTGATGCACAGAGAAAAGGCCTTCACAAGCCTCTGCTATTGTGTACATAGTTTATTCTAAGTGACCCATAGGTTGAGGAGGCGGTGACCGTGGCGGTGTAGGTGGAAGGAGCGGTGGAGGAGGAGGAGGTAGTCAACACTGTTTTTTATATATATATATTTTTGTTTTAATTAGGGGAGCCCACAAAATATTGGGACATACTAAAAAAGAAACATTTGCGGCCTGCGGTGCATTTATTGCAGTCCTGATGCATGGAGAAATGCTCAACTCCTGATGCATGGAGAAAAGGCCTTCACAAGCCTCTGCTATTGTGTACATAGTTTATACTAAGTGACCCATAGGTTGAGGAGGCGGTGATCGTGGCGGTGTAGGTGGAAGCGGCGGTGGAGGAGGAGGAGGATGATGTAGCCAACACTGTTTATATATATATATAAATATTGTGACATATAAAAAAAAACAACTCTGTTCCGCAGAGTAGCTGTTGACATTATAGTTGTCCGACCACCACCCAGACAGTGTCTGGGTCCTGGTCACCGGACTGCCCACCTGACTGTGAAACTACGAATGGAGCGTTAAATCTGGTACGAACCAGAACTTTGCATTTCGGGTTCGCTCAACTCTATTATGGATCCTTTGATCGCTACATGTATTACTCGGATAACTAGTAATTCTCAAACTAATACATGCCGACGAGCGCTAGGGGACGGTCGCTTCGATTTTGCACCCTGCTCCCTCTTTTTAAGATGTAGACTTATTGTATCACACTAGCCATGCACAGGTATATTATCTGGCACGTTGTTTTGGTGTTTGGTTTTTAACTTTGTAGTTGTGTCTTTACGCAATATAGAAATTTATATTAATGCTTCTGTATATAAAGCAATCACAATAACACTTATTTTACACTTTTTTGTAAAAAAAA